AGCCAGTATCGGAATTTTCAGCGTTGACATATCGAGTGATGTGCAATTTCAGGTCACTTGGAAGAGAAGGCCAAATTGGCCTCTAAAAAGCTTGGTGTGCTCAGCATAGCGGGACAGTATTTCGTGCCGGCACACCGCCTGCAACTTTACAAGGCGCAAGTTCGGCCGCACATGGAATACTGTTCCCATCTCTGAGCTGAGGCTACCCAGTACCAGCTCCTTCCACTTGGCCACATCCAGCGCAGGGCGGCCCGAATTGTCCACGACCGAGTGCTTTCCGATCGGCTCGATTCACTGGCGCTGCGAAGAAATATTGGATCTCGTTGCGTATTTTATCGCTCTATCACGGGGAGCACTCTGAGGAATTGTTCGGATTAATCCCAGCCGCAAAATTTCATGAACGCACTACTCGGCAAACCTCCCGATACCATCCACACCATCTGGATGCTTGGCGGTCCACCACTGTACGTTTCACTAGGAGTTTTCTTCCGCGTACGACCTCTCCGTGGAATAGTTTACCACCGACGATTTTTCCGGACCGATACGACCTGGGGATTTTCAAGAAAAGAGCTTACTCCTTTCTAAAGGGCCGGAAACGCATTCTCCTGGTTTTGCGGTTGTTCATGGGCTGCGGTAGTAGAAGTGAATCGTATGCTCGTTTGCCCCCTGTTCTATAAAAAGAAACACCAGCGTAAAATAGCAACATAATATTACTGTGTTTCTTATTATAAGTGCAGAAAAAAAGAGAATAGAATGCATCTGCGTTTGTTTTCTTAATTTATGATATCAGGTGGACTGCTTGCTCTTTGACACTTACTTCTATTAAAAATGACTCATATTGCAAGGGTTGTAGAAATGCTACAGATGATCATGTTTCTTCCACCCCTTCCTTAAACCCATAATAGTCCACTATTGACTATGGCCTCTTCCACATAAGGGAGGATTTACCACGATCGTTACGTTAAACATCACCAAAGCGCACCACTGATGCTGCATCATGTTACCGGTCTGGGTATTTCTTACTTAACATATTTCAGGTAGAATAACGTCATATAAGACCGTAAAGTGTTCCTCGACTTTCCTTAGTCACATTTTGCGATACTCACGGGACGAAATTATGTATTGAACTGCCAAAATACGGCAAAATACAAGTTAAAACTGGTAATTTCATTTCATCCGCTCCGCTTATCACAATATTTAACCATCAACCAACAATATATTACGCGTAAAAGCAAGACCGACTGATCTACGCCGCGGGTGTCGCTTTCTCTTCTTTCAAATATTTGGCAAGACTATCTAAACACGCACGCGTATTTTTTATAGGATAAGGATGTCAAACGAACACACAGTCCACCTGATGGTAAGTGGATGTAGCTCAGAGACATCATCCATTCTCGATTAGAAATCAAATTGCAGATGCGTTGTCACTTGTGAGGATTAAGATGGGATGCCCAGATACCAGTATAAAAAATTATAATACTCACCATAGGAAACACAGTAGCATCAAGCTGCTATTTTAAGCTGGTATTCTGTGAGAGCGTGGTCCTTCCCCAGTCGAAACGACATATTCTTGCTACAACCGTAATATAGCTGCGGCATGGCTCTACCATGATAAAATATCATTTAAAATAATATTATATAATAAATTTAAACCTCATTTCAACGTTGCAGGTAAAATATTTTAGCTTACGGTTATATAATACAACAAAACTTTACTTGGAATAAAAACTCTGCTTGGTTCCGGTAAGTTCCGGTAAGGACTTGTTCTTCTCAAGTCAGAGATTTTCCGATCATATGCCGCTACTACAAAGATGATTTAGAGACTCGTTCAGATAATCGAGACAACCGCGGGATGTAATATGATATACCTGACATTTCTAAGTCTGTGGATATCCTATCACAACATTAGGTAATACTCTACCGCTGCTAGAATACAGTAATTCTTACCATTAATAGTTATAAGTATCAATAGTTAATTCAACCTTTTCAAAGGTCCACGATTGCCAACAGGGAGATTAACAACTATACGAAATGAAATAGTCACGAAAGTTGGTAAGATACCAAATAAAACGGACGTTAACGAACGCCGCGTCTAACTGGAGCGAACGCACTCAATTATTGGGACGTGTCGATCAATAATGCGGTATGCATACCGCGGAGATCCGCGGGCGGTCCACCACGCCCGCAATAAGGAAACACATCGATCTCCGCTTCGTCTGAATCGTGAGGCTCGGGTTGAATCGAATGAGCTTGATTCCGATTTTCAGCTCTTATGTTCATCGCACTATCTGACCAAGTGAATCAACGTTAAATATTTTAATCGCAGAAAGACGTCAATAGCGCAATAAATTCAAGCGTTCATACCAACATGGTAGACGACAAGGCAAGGTGTTTTTTAATGTGATAAAGCCACGCTGTAGCTTAAATATAACTGAAATATATATGGAACTGAGATAATAGAAGCACAAAACTTATGTGTTTCGTTAATGAGATATTCCACTTTAGTCCTCAGACGACAACGCATCTGTATTTTGAGTCTTTATTATAGATAGATAGTGTCTACAAAACGCACCATTCACTTTCCAAAATGTATTTTTCCATCATCATTTTATGTAAATCGAACAGAATTGGCATTAAAAAAAAATAAGTTTACGCAGTAATCAATTTGTATTACAACGACTTGTTACTCATGAAAAGCTATATAATTCAAGATCTCACGTATGAGACAGGGGTTTAAATTTAAAATTAGTAACATTTCAAATAGGTAGATATATAAGAAACTGCACAAATAGGAAGTTTGTGCTACATAATCAGCCACCTAAAAACTCCTTGCTCTTTAACATGCACTGTTAATTGTCCTTGATCTACGATATATTAGTTTTAACAGTATGTATTCCACTAGAAGACTAATATTAATGAAATAACACCAGTACGTTTTGAAGTTGTATTATATTTATTCTCTATTTTCGCCATTCGTTACAACCTTTGAATTTCCGTCGTGACTGCAACTGAACAATTAAAGTTAGCAAAGAATCATTATTAATAGCACTAATAATTTAATGATCATCCGAGCTCGAGCTTTCGTCCGTTCACTCCGACAGACAAGTTGCATCTGGCTGGCATTTTTCCTTCTTAATAAGGACAGGACTTCACTGTTCGAAATCAATTACAATTTATTTTGCAATTTCTATTGGAACTAAGACGTTAGTTAAACTTAACCAAGAATGTAAGTTTAATACGCTTTCAAAAAATAACTCAATTCCATATCTAGAATTAAGGACCTTAACATTTGAAGCTTTTGTACCTTTTGACCTCAAATGTACAAAAAAGCCATTTTTGAGAGTAAAAGAAAGAACTAATAATTTTTGATAGATGAGCGGTACACCATACCTTTTACGTCAGACGTAAAATACTTGGCGGCGGCGGCGCAAATAAACATCTTGTTAACGCCGGTCGTTAATACCCAGACGAGTAATGGGAAGCAGAGCCACAGTTAAGAGACGCCTGGTACTTCGGTCGCGAATACACCTGCTGAACATGAAGATTAAAGCAAAACCTCATTAAAACTGGAGAGGTTGATGTTCATGAGGGAACTTTTACGAGCTGATAATTATGATGGAGTGATTTACTGTTATCCTGACCGCCTATGAACATGTTATAAACTTTTCACATTCGATTTTATTTGGGTTCTCGTTTCAAAAGCAAGTTGGTGCCACTTTTATGATTTTTTTAATCAGAAACGTCCGTATGTACTTTTATAATTATTAAAATGAGGTGAGAGCCATGGTAGCTCATATGGTTAGCGCTCGCTGTAAATTTCACAGTACGCGAGCAAACCGGGTTCGATTCCCGCCAGCGTCAATGAAACTGTTAGTTGCAATTTTAAGTGCTGATTTACCACGTGCTCAGCGGTGAGGAAAACATCGTGAAGAAAACCTGCATGTCTGAGAAATAAGAAAAAAATTCCTATACATGTGAAGTTCGTCAACATGCATTGGGGCGGCGCGTCTAACACTTCCTTAGCCTAATACTCTCTTATAAAACAGGGGAGACCTGTGCCCAGCTGTGGGACGTATATAGGCTGTAACTTTAACTAACTTTTAACTAATATAATAAGGCGTTACTTTACGAAAATTCATTACATTAATAATAATAATAATAATAAAATACACCAACAGCTTGCCATTAAATTTGGCTTTACTCAACAGGACGTTCCATATTATAAGTATGAACCAAAGCAAGTCCTTGAAAATAGAAGTGTCACACTGTACTGAGATCGGTCAATTATCACAGACAGATTTATAGTGGCAAATAAACCTGACGTTGTGGTGATAGACCAAACTACACGCAAGTCAATAATAGTGGATATAAGTGTTCCTCATGACGAGAATCTCGTAAAAGCAGAGAATGATAAAAAAATTAAATATATCGACCTGGCTCATGAGATTGTCGCTATGTGGAACATCGATTCTACTATTATTGTACCAATAGTTGTTTCAGTCAATGGGCTTATTGGTAAAAATATGGACGATTATCTGTCCAAGTTAGGTTTGGGCAAATGGCTGAAGGCATTAATTCAAAAATCGGCCTTATTAAATACGGCTCGAATAGTAAGAAGGTTCCTATCTTTGGATGCCTAACTTCACCGATGGCATATTTCGCCGCGTGGAAATAACCGAAATAACAATATTATTTATATAGATTGTATTTATATTTATAATATTATAGTTTTGTGATAATATATGTGATAAAAATAATAATAATAATAATAATAATAATAATAATAAGGCGTAGGGAAGTGACGACCCCATCGCCCGCTGACGTAACGGTTATGTGACAAAACCGCTACGTCAGCGCAGTCAGTCAGCACCTTGCCAAGAGGTGTTAGTGCCGTGCCTCGGCAAAAATTGAAGGTGCAAAGGCCCGCTTGTGCACATGGCCTCACCATGAAATGGCGCCGGGTCTGGGCGTCTCCCGCTAAATGACGCCCACCACTATGGATGATGGAATACGGAAGAACGCGCAAAGGGCCGCTGCCTGGAGGTCGCCAGGGCGCGTCTGGAGCTGGCGCTGGACGCGGCAGCATGCGAACCGCCAGCCGAGCGCGAGGTGCTGCACGACCACCCAGCAGCCCCTCGCATCCATCATCCCCACCAGCTGGCTTGGTGTCGGCAGGGTCTTCGCGGGCCCAGCAATCGGCACCCGCCTCTGGTGGAGTACGCCGCATGCGTTGGACAACCCAGATGAACAGCAACGCATTGCGGGCGTATTTTGGGGCGAAAGGGGGAGAAACTGGATGTTTGGCGTATCGGGCTAGGATGCATCGTCTTTTTGCTGAGCTGGAGCCATCTTTAACCGTCACAGAGCAAAACCTGGCAGACCGAGTTCGGTATATCTTGCGCTCAAATATATTTGATGTCGCCGAACTCGAACGGCTACGACGTGAGGCTGTTCCCTCGTCGGATGAGAATGCTACGGCTGAGGATGCGGCGCCACAAATGGTAGAGCAACCCGCAAACGTGGATGCCGCCGTGAATACCCCAGTTGTGGTTGATTCAAACGATGATGGAACAGTCGCCCAGGAACTGGAATTAGAGCATATGAGGAGTACATTGGAAGAGGCGATTGTGGAAACGCGCAGTACGCCTCTCGAAAATCGACCGCGACTTCCCCGCATAGCCCTAAGCAAGCGGAATCGGGCTGTCGTGAGGGCTCTGAACCCAATGCTGGTGACCTATTTGGAAGCCAGCCGGGACCTTTGCGAGACGGACTCAATTCTTTTTGGCGCCGCGCTGGCAGTCTGCCGTATCATAGGCGCCAAGGTTTCCACGGCTGGACGCGCTACTGGCCATAGTAGCGCTATCCCAGCATGGAGAAGAAGAATTGAGGAACGTATCGCAAAGGCTAGAGCTCTCATCGGCAGACTGATATGCTTCAGATCAGGCAACAACAGGCCAAGAATTGTGCGCACCGTCAGGATGGCGTTTGCTGGGACAAATGTCAGTTTGTCCCAGCCGGATATAACGCAAAAACTGACGGAGCGCATAGATGATCTGAAGCAGAGAATCGCTGCTTGGGGAAAACGGATTCGGCGATATACCGAGAGGTCGACACGGTTCAACCAGAATCGTCTCTTCCAGAGTGATCAGAAGAGGCTCTATGAATCATTGGAGCGACCAATGGTAAGTGGAACGGGTCCAGCACCGAATCAGGCCGACACTGTAGCATTCTGGCGCGGCCTGTGGTCAGAGCCCGTAAACCACAGCGAGGGCCCTTGGACGGAAGTTGTGGCGAGTCAGTGTGCGGGTATTACGCCCATGGACCCCGTCATCATAACGCCGGATGACGTAGCTGAGGCGGTCCGTAGGGCCCCGAACTGGAAAAGTCCGGGGCTTGACGGGCTGCATCACTACTGGCTGAAGGGGTTCATGGTGTGTCACTCTGTGCTTGCCCGACAGTTTCAAGAGGCTCTCAACCAGAAGTCGCTCCCAAGCCTCTTCACTACTGGGATCACTCATTTGGTTCCTAAAGACCAGGGTACCACAGACCCGAGCAAATACCGCCCCATCACGTGTCTACCGACCATATACAAGACACTAACATCCATTTTGAGCGCGAGAATCACTTGTCACCTGGACTCAAATCAGGTGATGTCGCGCGCTCAAAATGGATGTCGGGGCGGTGGTCGTGGAACCAAGGAACCACTCCTCATTGACGCGGTCATTGGCAAAGTGGTGAAACGCAACCGTCGGAACTTCTCCGCCGCCTGGATAGACTACAGAAAGGCATTCGACTCGGTGCCCCATACATGGCTAAAGAGAGTCCTCGAGCTGTACAAGATAGACTGTACAGTTAGAGACTTCCTTGAGCAGTGTATGGGGCAGTGGAGTACGATCCTTTGTCATCTGGGCGAGCGGATGATGGCTGCGGAGAACCACATAAGGATAAGAAGGGGTATCTTCCAGGGCGATTGTCTGAGTCCAATCTGGTTCTGCCTCTCTCTGAACCCTCTCAGTACCTTACTGGAGGGCTCCGGGAGGGGATTTCAGCTACGGAGAGGAGGGACAAAAGTGACCCACCTTTTCTATATGGATGACCTCAAGTTATTCGCCTCCAGTCGCTCCCATCTTATGGAATTGCTAAACATCACTTGTGAATTTAGCAATTCCATTGGAATGGAGCTTGGGACGGATAAGTGTGCGGTCCTCCATGTTGAAAGGGGAAGGGTTGCTAACTCTGAGGGCGTAGACTTATCTATGCCCGTCAACTTAAGGACCCTTTCCGAGGCTGAAACATACCGATACCTGGGTATGTCACAAAACATCGGTATCGATGAGACTGGTATGAAACAGTCAGTTTGCGACGTGTTTTATGCACGCTTGACCAAAGTGCTTAACAGCCTTTTGTCCGGTGTGAATAAGGCACACGCATATAACGGCTGGGTCATGCCTGTCCTCATGTATACCTTTGGCATACTCAGGTGGACTCAGACTGAACTTAACGCCCTGGATAGAAAAGTCCGCACTACCATGACGTCCCATAGGATGCATCATCCGAGATCGTCGGTAATGAGGTTGTACTTGTCGCGGAAGCATGGTGGTCGTGGCTTCTTGAGCGCGCTCACCATGCATAATCGCGAAGTGTGCAGCCTCCGTGATTACTTCCTGGCGAGATCGGATGATCCATTCTATATGGACGTCATTTCTTGTGATAAAGGACTTACCCCTCTATCCTTAGCCAACGAGCAATGGCAAGACCCGGCAGTGCAGAGCATTTCCGACCGAGAGACCGTATGGAAGGAGAAGGAGCTCCACGGGAGGTTCTACAAGGCTCTACATGAGCCTTTCGTAGACACAGTAGCCTCCCTCCACTGGCTACGCTTTGGTGATCTCTTCGGGGAAACCGAGGGTTTTGTCTGTGCAATACAGGATCAGGTTATTAAGACCAACAACTATCGGAGATACATCCTAAAGGATGGCACCGTCGACATCTGTCGAGCTTGTCGCCATCCCGGTGAGTCACTTAGGCATGTTATCTCTGGTTGTTCGGCGCTTTCTAACTCTGAGTACTTGCACAGGCACAACCTAGTAGCCAGAATTCTACACCAGGAGCTCGCTCTGAAATACGGTCTCGTGGACCGGAAATTGCCGTACTACAAGTACTTGCCGGAAGCCGTGCTCGAAAATGATCGCGCCAGGCTCTATTGGGACCGGGCCATCATCACAGACAGGACTATTCTTGCGAATAAGCCTGATATTGTGCTGATGGACCGGGCACAGTCAAGGATATTTTTGGTCGACATTACCATTCCGTATGACGAGAACCTCGTGAAAGCCGAAACAGACAAGCAAACAAAATATCTGGACCTGGCTCACGAGGTGACCGACATGTGGGGTGGTCTGCCGACCGAAATTATTCCTGTAGTCGTCTCTGCAAACGGGCTAATCCCAGTCAGCCTCTCGGGTCATCTGAGGCGGCTGGGACTACGTGGCGGACCGCTCCGGGTTCAAATGCAGAAGGCGGTGCTCCTCGATACCGCCCGCATCGTCCGCCGGTTTCTTTCCCTTTCCCCCTAACCCTCGGCCGTTTGGTCTCCCCTGCCGAGGGCCTCCATCTGGTTGGGCTTTTATTTATTTATGTACTTTTATATTTATTTTATGTTATTGATATTTATGTATATTTATTATGTATTTCATTTTCATTTATAATTATATATTTATAGAACCCAACCAGATGAGAAAACTATATAGATACCCCATAATAATAATAATATTCCACAACTATCACACAACGCCATCTAGTCCCAAGCTAAGCAGAGCTTGTGTTATGGGTACTAGACAACTGATAAACATACTTATATATTTCTAAATACATAAATATTATAGATAAATTACACCCAGACACAGAACAAATGATCGTGCTCATCACACAAACATTTGTCCTGGGTGGGAATCGAACCCACGACCTCCGGCATATCAGGGTCACTAACCACTAGACCAACAGGCCAGTCAATATTAATATTAAAGATGTTATAATGTATTAGATAAAATCCATGCATAGAATAAAAGAAAATGATATTACTATGACTTAGTTTCAAGAGCCCCTCTCCCTCAGTTGCATGCACTATCCTCGTTACCACCATCGTAGAGTCAGTTTCTGTTGATGATGCCTCGTTTACAGGCAAAATACGTGTCATATTCTTAACGGTGGTGTGTCTGTCCTAGTGTAGTAGTGTTGGAAGTATTGGTGTTGGGATCAATACACATCATTTCTATATTATTTTATACATGAAATTTAGCAAATTATTTTTTAACTTCTTTACAATTATTGTGCAATAAAATTAGCTGAAAAAAAGTTGTAAAGTACTGCAACATCGCCTTTAAACTTTTCCAACTCCCTTTAATACCAGGCTATCTAGCTGTTGTCCTTTAATACTCCTGTCCTATGGATAACGGAACCTTTATAGTTACAGACTTTGAGGCATTTCATATAACGTGGTACAGCCACATTGCAGCTATATTTGTATCGTTGTAGTCGAATGGGTCTGCTCGACCGGGGAAGAACCATGCTCTCACAGAATACCAACGTAATATAGCAGCCTAATGGAAACGAAGCATTCCATCTTAGTCCTCAGGGGTAGCAATGCATCTGTATTTTGATTTTTAATTGAGAATAGATGTAGATTAGATGTTGTAATTGCTTATTGGCCACAGCATCCACTAAACATCAGGAAAACTGAAACTTCTCAGGGCTGAAAACACATCTGCCCCTTTCATCTTCTATCATTTGCTCGGCGCTAAAGGAACACATTGTGAGGCATGTCTGTCATGCCTGTATGTCTGAAAAAAAAATACATTTCGAAGATATTATGTTCTTTTTTTCTAGATGGCAGTATTCCTTGTCCTACTATCTCTCCTGTTTGCACTGCTATATTCTAGTCTGAAGGCCGTGATTACAGGGATCTTAATTCTGAGAGGTGACAACGCATCGTAGTCTTTTTTGTTTTAGGCTGACTGCAAGTGTCCATGGATCGCAGTGACCACTTACCATTAATTGATCTTATAATTTCGATTGTTACCTCAGTTTTATAAAAAGATCTTAATCAAGGATAAACGCAGGTGTGACACTCAGTTTTCTATTCACCCACCATAAGAAAAGATAATGCTATATTATGCTGCTATTTCATTTCAGTATTCTAAAGAAAAAAAATCCTTTCGATGTCAAGTAAACACATTTTGTGGTGCAGCCAAAATTAAGTTGCAGCGTAGTTTTTTGACTACATGACTACTAAGTACTGGCTTATAATTCCACCTGATATATCAACATACTAACAGCTAAAAGCTGATGCGTGTGCATCTTAATGTTTCGAGATTTTTTTTATTTATTTTTTATAGAAGAGGGGACAAACGAGCATGTGGTTCACCTAATGTTAAGTGACTACCGCCTCCCACGATCAACCGCAACACCAGGGGAATTGCTATGTGCGTTGCCGGCCCTTTAGAAAGGAGTAAGCTCTTTTCTTGAAGGTCTCTAGGTTCGTTTCTGTCCGGAAAAATCGCCGGTGGTAAACTATTCCACAGAGAGGTCGTACGCGGAAGAAAACTCCTTGTGAAACGTACAGTGGTGGACCGCCAAGCATCCAGATGTCGTGGATGGTATCGTGACGTTTTCCGCGTAGTGCGTTCACTAATTCCAATTCATTCTTGAAGGCGTTCATTGTAGGAACATAATCACATTTGCTGTAGCTTATTCCAATTAGTGACAACATTATTTGCATGTCCGCTTGGCAGCCCTGTGGCAGAGCGTAAGTTTTTTTTAAATATGAGATGGGGCAAACGAGCTTGCGTCTCACCTGGTGGTAAGTGACTACCGCCGCTCATGAACAACCGCAACACCTGGGGAATTGCACATGCTTTGCCGGCATTTTAAAAGAGTTGACTCATTTTTTGAAGGTCTCAAAATCGCCGGTGGTAGTCGAATCGATTTAAGTTGATGTTCTCTCAGACTTTTGTTGCTGTTCAGTAAATGCAAATTTAGCAGAACAGGCATTTTACAGCACATAGTAACCAGAAAGATGATGTTAAAGCGCACTGACTAAGCTTACTGAAAGCCTATTTACTTCTTGCCTTAAAGACACTTACATTATAATCGAATGGTAATAAATTTCAATGAAATGGAAGTAAACTCAACTATCTTATATAATTTATATGGAACTTGATGAAATATTATGTGTGACTAACAAAACACACGTCACAGTGAAACGTGGTGCGAATTTATTCAGAGTTTTCCTTGCCAGTGATCCTTAAAAGTTTAGAAAGTGCGGCCAAAGATGCGGGCACAATTAAGTACGTGATCGGAATGAACCCCGGACCGCCACCGCGTTGATGTACCGCCGAGATGTCAGCGCACAGCTGCCGCATATTAACGGTCCGTAATGCGCTCGTGAGGTCGTGCTTTCAGCAGGATAAGGCTGGATCGCACGGTATTACACGGTTATATCAATCTGTCATATCTATGATTGAGACTTTTAAAAGAATATGTTGGTTGTGTAACGGTTATACGATGCGTGGAGACTTTTTGTTTGAGTAAGACGAAATATTTATTTTGCCATATAATGACAACGCCATATTTTACGTAAGAGTTTCCTAAATGTAGACACAGTAGGACGTCGTACTCAGCATTTCGAGTGGCGAAACATGGCCGCTGTTTAAATGTGTTGTTCCTTTCCTTTCGAGTAGTTCCCGCAGTGGTATAATTTAACTAATTTTAGATAACAGAAAATAGCAAAAAATAAAAAAAGACTGCATAACTTTACGTTCAATCTAAACAAAATAAAGGGACTGCGATGAATTACAATAAAATAAAATACACAGAAACTTCTGTTGCTATGCTTTAGTTCAAGTATCTTGGCCATATTGTTACTTCAGACTTAAAAGATGACACGGATGTGGAACGTCAACGTAGATCTCTGTGTGTAGTAGGCAATATGATTGCGCGAAAATTCTGCAAGGCGTCGCCGGACGTGAAAATTACACTTTTTAGATCTTTCTGCCAAGCGTTTTACACGTGTCAACTCTGGGTAGACTATACCAAGAAAACACATGATAGTATACGGGTAACTTATAATAATATTTTTAGACTTCTAATGGGATTTAATCGCTATTGTAGCGCCTCTGAAATGTACGTGAAAACCCGGGTTGACTCTTTTAATGCTATCCATCGAAAGAGGATAGTATATATATGCTATGTTATATTTTCTTGTAAATATGGATCTTTGTGTCCGCAATAAATGATTATTATTATTATGGGGTATCTATATAGTTTTCTCATCTGGTTGGGTTCTATAAATATATAATTATAAATGAAAATGAAAAAATAAATATACATAAATATCAATAACATAAAATAAATATAAAAGTACATAAATAAATAAAAGCCCAACCAGATGGAGGCCCTCGGCAGGGGAGACCAAACGGCCGAGGGTTAGGGGGAAAGGGAAAGAAACCGGCGGACGATGCGGGCGGTATCGAGGAGCACCGCCTTCTGCATTTGAACCTGGAGCGGTCCGCCACGTAGTCCCAGCCGCCTCAGATGACCCGAGAGGCTGACTGGGATTAGCCCGTTTGCAGAGACGACTACAGGAATAATTTCGGTCGGCAGACCACCCCACATGTCGGTCACCTCGTGAGCCAGGTCCAGATATTTTGTTTGCTTGTCTGTTTCGGCTTTCACGAGGTTCTCGTCATACGGAATGGTAATGTCGACCAAAAATATCCTTGACTGTGCCCGGTCCATCAGCACAATATCAGGCTTATTCGCAAGAATAGTCCTGTCTGTGATGATGGCCCGGTCCCAATAGAGCCTGGCGCGATCATTTTCGAGCACGGCTTCCGGCAAGTACTTGTAGTACGGCAATTTCCGGTCCACGAGACCGTATTTCAGAGCGAGCTCCTGGTGTAGAATTCTGGCTACTAGGTTGTGCCTGTGCAAGTACTCAGAGTTAGAAAGCGCCGAACAACCAGAGATAACATGCCTAAGTGACTCACCGGGATGGCGACAAGCTCGACAGATGTCGACGGTGCCATCCTTTAGGATGTATCTCCGATAGTTGTTGGTCTTAATAACCTGATCCTGTATTGCACAGACAAAACCCTCGGTTTCCCCGAAGAGATCACCAAAGCGTAGCCAGTGGAGGGAGGCTACTGTGTCTACGAAAGGCTCATGTAGAGCCTTGTAGAACCTCCCGTGGAGCTCCTTCTCCTTCCATACGGTCTCTCGGTCGGAAATGCTCTGCACTGCCGGGTCTTGCCATTGCTCGTTGGCTAAGGATAGAGGGGTAAGTCCTTTATCACAAGAAATGACGTCCATATAGAATGGATCATCCGATCTCGCCAGGAAGTAATCACGGAGGCTGCACACTTCGCGATTATGCATGGTGAGCGCGCTCAAGAAGCCACGACCACCATGCTTCCGCGACAAGTACAACCTCATTACTGACGATCTCGGATGATGCATCCTATGGGACGTCATGGTAGTGCGGACTTTTCTATCCAGGGCGTTAAGTTCAGTCTGAGTCCACCTGAGTATGCCAAAGGTATACATGAGGACAGGCATGACCCAGCCGTTATATGCGTGTGCCTTATTCACACCGGACAAAAGGCTGTTAAGCACTTTGGTCAAGCGTGCATAAAACACGTCGCAAACTGACTGTTTCATACCAGTCTCATCGATACCGATGTTTTGTGACATACCCAGGTATCGGTATGTTTCAGCCTCGGAAAGGGTCCTTAAGTTGACGGGCATAGATAAGTCTACGCCCTCAGAGTTAGCAACCCTTCCCCTTTCAACATGGAGGACCGCACACTTATCCGTCCCAAGCTCCATTCCAATGGAATTGCTAAATTCACAAGTGATGTTTAGCAATTCCATAAGATGGGAGCGACTGGAGGCGAATAACTTGAGGTCATCCATATAGAAAAGGTGGGTCACTTTTGTCCCTCCTCTCCGTAGCTGAAATCCCCCTCCCGGAGCCCTCCAGTAAGGTACTGAGAGGGTTCAGAGAGAGGCAGAACCAGATTGGACTCAGACAATCGCCCTGGAAGATACCCCTTCTTATCCTTATGTGGTTCTCCGCAGCCATCATCCGCTCGCCCAGATGACAAAGGATCGTAGCTCACTGCCCCATACACTGCTCAAGGAAGTCTCTAACTGTACAGTCTATCTTGTACAGCTCGAGGACTCTCTTTAGCCATGTATGGGGCACCGAGTCGAATGCCTTTCTGTAGTCTATCCAGGCGGCGGAGAAGTTCCGACGGTTGCGTTTCACCACTTTGCCAATGACCGCGTCAATGAGGAGTGGTTCCTTGGTTCCACGACCACCGCCCCGACATCCATTTTGAGCACGCGACATCACCTGATTTGAGTCCAGGTGACAAGTGATTCTCGCGCTCAAAATGGATGTTAGTGTCTTGTATATGGTCGGTAGACACGTGATGGGGCGGTATTTGCTCGGGTCTGTGGTACCCTGGTCTTTAGGAACCAAATGAGTGATCCCAGTAGTGAAGAGGCTTGGGAGCGACTTCTGGTTGAGAGCCTCTTGAAACTGTCGGGCAAGCACAGAGTGACACACCATGAACCCCTTCAGCCAGTAGTGATGCAGCCCGTCAAGCCCCGGACTTTTCCAGTTCGGGGCCCTACGGACCGCCTCAGCTACGTCATCCGGCGTTATGATGACGGGGTCCATGGGCGTAATACCCGCACACTGACTCGCCACAACTTCCGTCCAAGGGCCCTCGCTGTGGTTTACGGGCTCTGACCACAGGCCGCGCCAGAATGCTACAGTGTCGGCCTGATTCGGTGCTGGACCCGTTCCACTTACCATTGGTCGCTCCAATGATTCATAGAGCCTCTTCTGATCACTCTGGAAGAGACGATTCTGGTTGAACCGTGTCGACCTCTCGGTATATCGCCGAATCCGTTTTCCCCAAGCAGCGATTCTCTGCTTCAGATCATCTATGCGCTCCGTCAGTTTTTGCGTTATATCCGGCTGGGACAAACTGACATTTGTCCCAGCAAACGCCATCCTGACGGTGCGCACAATTCTTGGCCTGTTGTTGCCTGATCTGAAGCATATCAGTCTGCCGATGAGAGCTCTAGCCTTTGCGATACGTTCCTCAATTCTTCTTCTCCATGCTGGGATAGCGCTACTATGGCCAGTAGCGCGTCCAGCCGTGGAAACCTTGGCGCCTATGATACGGCAGACTGCCAGCGCGGCGCCAAAAAAGAATTGAGTCCGTCTCGCAAAGGTCCCGGCTGGCTTCCAAATAGGTCACCAGCATTGGGTTCAGAGCCCTCACGACAGCCCGATTCCGCTTGCTTAGGGCTATGCGGGGAAGTCGCGGTCGATTTTCGAGAGGCGTACTGCGCGTTTCCACAATCGCCTCTTCCAATGTACTCCTCATATGCTCTAATTCCAGTTCCTGGGCGACTGTTCCATCATCGTTTGAATCAACCACAACTGGGGTATTCACGGCGGCATCCACGTTTGCGGGTTGCTCTACCATTTGTGGCGCCGCATCCTCAGCCGTAGCATTCTCATCCGACGAGGGAACAGCCTCACGTCGTAGCCGTTCGAGTTCGGCGACATCAAATATATTTGAGCGCAAGATATACCGAACTCGGTCTGCCAGGTTTTGCTCTTATTATTATTTATCTTTTATTATTATTATTATTATGCCCTTTAAACTGTTAATGACAGAAATGTTAAAACTGTTATTAACCTTTAACGCCTTGAATTATGATGCATTTGAAGAATTGTTCATGAAGATCACTTAATCGCTCACACACACACATACACACACACACGCGCGCCTCGCAATTTGGCCTTACAATAGAATTATTTACTAAAATTTTTCTTTATAATAGTAATATACATTATAATACTTAGACAACAGATGGAAAAGTCTGAGGCCTGTAGCACAGTTTTAACTAACGCAGACTTCAGAGCTCAAAAATAATTGTGACTATAATGTAATGTGTGTTAATAAATTTCATTTAATTTTATTTCATTGCCCTGTAGCTGTACTTCATCCATCTTAAATTTGTAATGCGACATGCAATAAACAATTTGAATTTGAATTCTTTTTCATAAAACTGAAGCGGCAACCTTAGTAAACACTACTACTTATAGTAATTTAAACAAAATAATCGTGTGTTGTCAAAATTTTCTAGTAAAACGCATAGCGTTGAAATGCCAGTTATCGAGATGTGTGTGCGCGGAAAATATAACGAAATCAACATTGTACTTATCTCACGGCTGCCCAAAAAAAACCTAGAAAAACCTAGACATAATGTCTGACGCCTGTTTTTGTCTGAAACCTACGTGCATAATTCACAAACAATTGTGATTTCCGATTTTGTATTATTTATAATATAACATCAAGAATATCTCAAACACCGTAAACAGGACGTGTTAAACCGAGCCTAATATCTGAAGATATATAAAACAAACACCAACGTTCAAATCAACAAATGTCCACAATTAATATAGAGGAAGAGAAACACGAAACCCGTATCACGCCATTACTTACGTAAGCAGTACAAATCAGAGTCTTATCGATGCATTACAGGGGAGGTAATGAAGGCAGTACGTCGTGCGCGCGTGAAGCTGTGACCGGCATCGATAGGATTGCTCGATGTATCGATGCAATTAAGTCGATATATCGATGCATTGGTATCTCGGGCAGCCCTCAACCTCTACGTCACGAGCTGAATATTGTGCCAATTTAGCATTATCGCTTTTACGTGAGACTCTCATTAAGATAAGACCTTGTTAATAATGCACTGCGGTTTCGAGGGAAGTTTCTAGATTACTAAGTTGGTCGTAAAGTCATCTTTGTTGTAATTTTCATTATATGTTCTGAAATTATCAATAAAATGAACTTTTTACGCGGTAGAGCCATGTTGCAGTTATATTACTGGTATAGTTGTAGCACGAATGGTTCGGTTCGACCGGGGAAATACCACGCTCTCACAGAATTATCGCGTAAAATAGCAATTTAACGCTACTGTGTTTCGTATGGTAAGTGTAGAGAACCGGAGACCCTTTTTATTAGAAACCAGGCATTCCATTTTCGTCCTCACGGGTGACAACGCATCTGCATTTTGATTCGTAATTGATGATAGATGTAGATATCTACGGACCACAGGATGGACTGTGTGCTCGATCGTCACCTTATAAAAATCTCTAAAAAACCTTAGTATTGTTGTGCTTAGTATTGTTAAAAATAAAGATTTTGAAAACAAGTAAAGCTTCTGATGTTTATGCTAAGACATTAAAAGCCCAGCTAAAACTGTATAAGCTGTTAGAAGGAAAATATTTTATTTTTTTACTTCTTTGAAGTTTTTTCACCGTCTTCAAAAAGGATATTCAAGGAGGATATTCAATTCGACTGTATGTTTTTTTTTTTTAGTTGTTTTATCAAGTCTATTTTCCTTCTTTTTAATTTTCTTTAAATATCAATTTTTACCCTTTTGAGTGAACTAAGCTATGTCCCAAGCTCAAGGTAACAACTAGAATATCGTGTAAATAATTACATTTAAAACTTCATCCCTTATTTTTCAACTCTAAGTGGAGAGAAGTATGGTTCCAAATCTAAATGGGAGCACCCCTAAAGTCTATATTATTTCTTAAAAAAAAAGTGACAATAAAATCTGTTTACAGTGGATAAAGATTGTGAAGATGTTACATTGCGTAACGTATATAAATCCTCCTTTTTTGAAGTCGTGTAAAAACTCGCATTGTATAACGAGAAATTAACGCTAAAATATTTTTTGCGTATATATAACGCGTATATACATCTAGCATATATGCACAGGTTCAATATGCATAATAATGAAGAGTAAGAATAAGATTTTTTTATTTAATATAGATTATATGTAATTCTTAATGAAATTCATTTTTTACTTTACCACTGGTTCGAAAAAAACTTTGTCCTGGAAGAAACAGCAAGAAATTCAGCGGGATTTTTTTTAATAAATTTTACAATGTGTATAGTTACAAAATATTTATATAATTTAAATTAGAAACAACTTGGAAGCGATCACCTCATTCCCAGGAGTTATTATCAACCATGTATTCATTTGTAGAAAAACTCTATAAGAAGGGTTAATCCCTTTTTATAGAGTTTTTGTTTATTTCAATATTTAAACATGGAAATAGATTTGGATATTACATCTATCCTCAACTAAACAAATCTTCTTGCCCATTTTCATTCATCATTAGATGCCATAGAGCCGTAGTAGCTTAGATTGTTAGCGCTCTCTGTAAATTTCACATTACGCGAGCAAACCGGGTTCGATCCCCGCCGGCACCAATGAAATTGTTAATTGCAATTTTAAGTGCTGATTTACCACGTGCTCGGCGGTGAAGGAAAACATCGTGAGGAAACCTGCAAGTCTGAGAAATAAGAAAAAAATATTTCGGAGACATGTGAAGTTCGCCAACACGCATTGGGCAGCGCGGCGAATTATTCCTTGCCCTAAAACCCTCTCAGAAATGAGAGGAGGCCTGTGCCCAGCAGTGGGACGTATATATGCTGTAACTTTACTTTTTTCATTCATAACAGCCGGTCTACGCCTACCAAAGTTGCAACGTTTAGCTGATGAGTTGACAGCCGCAGTTTTTTTATTTTCTAGCTGTTATTAGTCAGCAGGTCACTATTAGTCACCATATCACTATTAATCACCAGGTCACTATTAGTCACCAGGTCACCATTAGTCACCAGGCCGATATTAGTCACCAATACAAACCGTTTTGCAGTTGAATGGTGCTGTACAGTAACTGTTCTTGTAAAATGTGTTAAGTATCCTTAAATAAAAAAATAAAGACGCTGCTGCTAATTTCCTAGCTTATTTCCATCTTCCGCTTCTTACGATGCCCATGAGATGATATATGAATAGCGGATATTCTTACATCGCTAATAAACTGACATGATCAACCATGATCAACCACCAAGTTAGATATTATCAATAGGCCACTTGTTCTCGCCGCTCACCATACGAAACGAAAAGCTTATGCTAATTATTTTACGAAATAAGGGTGACAAATAAGCACAAAGTAATCCTGAAGTAAGTGGATGCTGTGGCATGGGTCACCATGTCTATAGCGACATCCTCATTCAGCCTCGACCGAGAACCAAAATGCAGATACATTGTCATCCCTGAGGAGTAAGCTGAAATGCCTCATTTCTAATAAAAAGAGTCTTCGGTTCTCTATACTCAGAGTGATTCTTTCCCGGCCGGCCGACCCATTAGCTCTACCACCTCAATCGATAGTAACGCGAAACGTAGCTACGTTTTGTACCTTGTTTCACTATTTATTTCGATTAACTGCTTTCTCAACGTAACTTTAATATTTTACTGTTACATCTTTATTCAAATATTATAACTGTAATCAGCGATCACCGTTTAAATTAATTAATAATATAATAATCAACATTTAGTAATATTTTTACATCCTGTCTCATGAGTGTCGTAAGAGGCGATAGTGGGAAAATGAAACAGGAAATAGGCAACTTCCTGATAACAACTAAAAGTAATAAAATCATGTGGTAGCTAACCCGCCTTTTAAACATGGCAACTATGGCATATCCTCTTAATGAGGTAATCGATCTATTGGAAATCGAACTAATTATCGATCTTGGCCATATTGTATATTTTCTTTGACTTTGTTATGAAAGAATAATACATATTTTTTGTCTCATGGTGCGCAGTGAGGGGGTGGTACATTTTACGCCGTTACCACACGACGAGAAGCCGAGTCTGTTCTTATGGCTTTGTCGCTTGTTTAACACCACCCGGAGGATACGTGTAGAGTGGGCCCAGGCCTAATCCTAGGACTAGGTGGTCGAAGCCTACGGACGCGAGCGACTTATCCCATCTCTGCCTACCCCTCTGGGTGACAGGCGTAAGTTGATATTAAACATATATTATGATTCAGTGAAATCGAGTTACTGGCGTCACTAATTTGTTATAGGAATTGTTTGTTACTTTTATTTACGGACTGTGCTTAATCACTTTTTTATTATGAACTACTAGTACTTTTAACTTTGGTGTATAGGCATAAAATGTTCGTAAATATAGAGCGGTGATGCTTTATTTACCTACGCGTTAGTAACTATATTTTGTAACTAGTCCCTTCAGTGTAGCGTCGTGAGAGACTGGCCTTACAAATAGATGTAATCTTATACATGAACTACGAACACAAATCATCAATACCGGATCCAAGTCTCGAACAAAGGATCGGCTCATAAATCGGGCTTTCTTACGTCTAGAAACTGGAGCAAAAACTGCGAGGAGCTACAGCATGCCGACGGTCACGTTTCACCTCATTGTTTACCTTCACGACCATTGTTTGGGGAGCGGTTGGTAATAAAGCGGGCCTTGCACCAGCCAATGACGGTGACTCGGGACCAAAACCACGCCTCGCAGTACGCCCACCTCGTCACGCAGTAAGATCACAATGGCAGGTCACTTACAGCTCGACTGTGTCCTCTTTAGGTTA